CATACTTCTTTTACTGAAATTATTTGAAAATTTAATGAAATTTGAAAAAAAACGAAAAAAAAAAGGAAAACCCAAAATTTTCAGCTGGTATATTTGGTTGCCAGAGGGAGGAGGGGCGAAATTACCGAAAATTCGGAAATTTCGAACAGAAATTGTAAACCATGCTGTGGGGTGCGTGGGCTTTTGATGCAGTGGCGGTGGCCGAGCTTCCGCGCCACTTGCTGTTTCCAAGGAAGCTGACGATCGACGAGCACTGCAATCAATTTAATTAATTTGGATTCTTGTAGAAATTAAGAATCAAATCATATCTCTTAGAAGAAAGTCAAGTACCCGTACCTCAAAGGTTAGCATGCATAGGAGTTTTGATAAGAATGCTACAATCAGTTTTAGGGTCTATTTGGGCTGCTTAAAATTCTGAGAAGCAGCTGCTGAGAAGCTAGCTGATGAGAATCTGGAGAAGCTAAAAAACCCAGCTTCTGGCTTCTAGTTCATCGGGCCATCATATATTAAGTGCACATTCAAGTTCGGAGTAGTATTTATACTCAGAACCAGCAATTGATCAGAACTGCACGAGACAACATAAAATTTACCACACCAACAAGGCATGTACAAACGCGAGCGTGCAAAATGTGCTCTACTCGATATATATGTCCAATTAAGGATGGATGGATTTGTGTCAAAGCCTATGTATGCTTGATCAGGGATTAGGAGGCATGAGGAATTTACACTGAATACTTGTCCAGTCACTGTAGGAATGGGCCTTTTCTTGTATGCAGCTTGGCCATCTTGGGTAACAAGAAGATAGCGGATTTTGTATGCAGTATGTTGCAGGAATTTTTGAGTTTGGATACCTGAACGCATGAAGTATGTGTGGAATTCAGTGACTAATTAGGCTAAAAAGAAGGAGGAGGGATCTCTGCATACTAGTATTACTAGTATTCAGTGCCTTTTCTTGTTTTTTTTCTCAATTGCATTGGGGTGAATGCATATATATATGTGATGTGCATGCCATGTAGTATTGCTAATAACTGACTATTTCATAGAGTTGACAGCCACTAGATCACGCTGCCACACATTGAACACATTATGTGCAACCCATAGCGGCACCCGAAGATGCACCACCGCGGGGGAGGTAGATGTCGCCGAACAAACAGCCAGAAGGGACCTCATTAGGGTTAACGCGTGCCGGATTGTCCTAAACTCAGCATGCCAGTTAGGACATCCTCCATCGGCATAGAGACGAGAGACAACAAGCAAATGGGGGTTTGGAGGGGAATAGGATTTGGGGTAGGTAGCAGGGATGTTGATGTAAAATATAAAGGGCTGGGTAATTGATTGATTTTGACGATTGATTGGTTGTTGTATTAGGCTTGTTTCCTAGAAATCCCGATGTAATACAAGAAAACACGAGAAAATACCCAAGTTGGACTCGGACTCTGTGCTGCTATAATTTGATCCTAATGTAAAATTTGGTTATCTGCCAGAGTTATCAAAATTAATTTGCATAATATTGAATTATTGATGTCTTTCTTTTGTTTCCATAGGGCTGCTGTCTGCTGATATTGCAGGTGAGATATATAGAAAGGTCAAGTCACATGCATGATCGAAACATAACTGACATTCAGATTTGCATATACTAGAGTCACAACGGACACACTATACCAGCCAGAGGCTCGCTCCGGTGCTTTCTACTTATAGTAGAAATTAATCCGAGCCGTTGATCATATTTAATCGTAGGGTAGAGATCTAGTTCTACTCCCACCAGATTTTATGGTAGTAAAAATGTGGAGGGGCATATTTGTCCAGAGATAATAATTCGTGTAGGGGTATTATCGTAATTTGTCATTATCTAACTGTAATTTGCTGAGCCGCCGACCGCGCCGCCGGCGATTTTCGCCCGGCCGCCGCCTGCCGGGTGAGGAGGAGCGGTAACCTGATGCGGTGCCTGCGTGTCGAGGCGTTGTGCTGTGAGTAAGATTCGAGTTATCAACGGTTGTTTAGGTTGGATCTCAAAGAATCAACATACTGGTTCGGACCTGATACTGCCGTGCCGCCGCCTGCGATGACTGATGCGGTGCCTGCGTCAGGAGCTCAGATTGCGTCGGACGTAAAGAAAAGCGACGACTCCGCCGTACCAGATGAGAAAAAGAATTCAACCCATGCCAAAATTACCCTAAACTGTATTAAGATATTACTAATCTACTCTTTAAAATAAATAGTTGAGATTAATTCTACTTAGAGTAGAATACTGCAAGTAAAGTGCACCGGAGCGTAGCCCAGCCAGCAAATCTTGTGTGTAGCGTAATTGAAGTGTAAAATCCGTGGTAGTAGTAGTAGTACAGTGTTGCTCTTCATGCTCATCACAATTTGCTATATATGTCTATGTTTCATCTGCTAATTGAAGGGCTTGTGAAGCATCGGGAATTGCATGTGCACGAGTTTTCAGCAATCGCCCGTTTCACACTACGGCCACATGCAGATCCTTCGTTGTTCTCATTCTGCTTCCTATGCCTGTGGTTGTCACTACATGTCACTGCGAAGCAGTCAAGAAGACAGTCGTAACAGCAGACTCGACCGATGCAGCGGCTTTCAGTGCACGAGGGCGACGGTGTGGAGAGAATCATCACGCACAAGTGGTGTGGTCAAGTGACAGGGAACAATACAGAAACCAACAGCTTTAATTTTAATTTTTAGCATGCAAAGATGTAAGCAGACAGTACTGAATTTCTTAGGCTGCTGATGAGAACCATAATAAGAAGGGTTTTTGTTGAGACCTTTTAACCAATGGTTTTGTTAGAGCCACAAGTCATTTTTTATGATGCAGCAATATTCAAGGGATGGCTTTACCTTGCTCTTTCAGAACCTTCAGAGATAATTCTCGTCGCAAGATTGTCAGGTTTTCAGATATTAATTAGCTTGCATGACAATTAAGAATAGGTCTATACAGAACTAAAACTAATTTTACCCAGGCCTGAGAATTACAGATGTAAACTTTACATTAACTTGGGACCAATATATATATCGGCGTCTTCCATTGATTGAAACTACACCGCAACCTCAGAGAGCGAATGTTAGCACAAACAAGCAGCAAAGGTTAGCATGCAGGAGACCAACAAGCGAAAGGCTCTACTCATTCTGTTCAAGCACGCACGCATGGTTAGTACAACATATATATGTGCATGCACTCGATCTGTTAAATCTGGGCTTAGGAGGCAGAGGGAATTTAGTGTGCACATGGAAAATCATAGACTCTTCTTTCTTCTCCTGTCAATGCCGATGAATTTCACTTGGCTGACAGAGGTAACTTGTTCACAGGACGCTATCAGTATAGCATCCTGGGTGATAAGCTGACAGAGTCCTGTAGCTCGGTCAACTTGAACTCTTGTCTTTTGCTAGTGCATTTTATTTGTGAGGCTGCTGATGAGCATTGTAATCAGAATGAATTTGATTTGCTCAGTTGTTGAGAGTTGAGACCACTTAGTTTTTGTTAGAACCACGAGTCCTCTTTGCTGACAGCCTGACACAACAACATTTAAGGAATTAGCTTTGCTCTTTTAGAACGTTCATATAGTTACTTACTGGATATTGCCCCATAAGCCCCCAATCGATTCAATTTGCCTTCTCTGTGCTCTTATGACAATAACAAAAAGAACCCTTTTAAGTTGTTCCTTCTTACCTATTGGGTGGTAAAGAGCTAAGGATAAATCCTAGCCATTGAAATTGTGTTTGTTTTATATAGTGATAAATTATTTTTTAAATCCTAATTAATAATTCTCAGCACAAAAAGGAAGCATTAATAACCATTATTGTCCTTCCAAATTAACCACGCATGCAGAGACTACAGATGCAATAAAACTGCAACTTCCTACCGGTCCATGCATTACTCTAAATTATTTTTGTTTGGAAGTTCCTCCGAAATTAAATGGATGCATGCAGTATGAAACTGAATTGCATCACAACAAATCTATAATTTTTCAATATATATATATAACGGTTATTTTAAAATACAAATCTGGCAGCGTGAAATGAAATCAAATATAGTTCAGATTTTAAAAAATTTGAAATGTCTAATCTTAACATAAATGCTTTATGTTCTAAAATATCGATATCGCACTATCAGCTTTGAGATCTCTACTGATTTGATCATATAATTCAAAATTCAAATTTGGGATGTAGATAGATGTACACATGATGTTTAAAATTTCAAAATTAGGTACCTTTGTAGGTGGTGTTTGGATCGTGGACTTAACTTTAGTCTCTGTATTTAGATACTAATTTAGAGTATTAAATATAGACCACTTACAAAACTAATTACATAAATGAAAGCTAATTCGCGAGATAAATTTGTTAAGCCTAATTAATCCATAATTAGAGAATTCTTATTGTAGCATCACATAGGCTAATCATGGATTAATTAGGCTCAATAGATTCGTCTTGCGAATTAGTCCAAGATTATGGATGGGTTTTATTAATAGTCTATGTTTAATATTTATAATTAGTGTCCAAACATCCGATGTGATAGGGATTTAAAAGTTTTAAAATGTTTATTTCCACCTAAACAGGGTCTTGTCCATTATCATTCCAATTTAAAAATATGCAAACTAAGTTTATGGCAATTGTTACGTTAATTACTTACTTTATATGCAATAGTACTGTTTCTACCAAGTTGAAAAGCATGTTTGTTTCCTTCTTTGCGATCTATTACCACCAATGAGGTAAGGCAAATACTGGCCTTCAGATCAACATGCCGTGAACGGCCTAAAACAAGAGATTTGCTCCAATCCAATAAAAAGTATCTCGAGGTAAGTACATCACGGCACCAAATTGTTTCCGGTCGTTGGATCTAACAATGCTCATCCTGCCGAGTTAGATCCAACGACCAGGAATGATTTAGTACCGCGATGTACCGGTACCTTGAGCTACGCCAGGAAAATTCATTTTCCCAAACGCTAGTATATTAATCCCCGTCCCACAAAAAGCTAGTGTACACCACAATAAACTTGATACAAAAGACACATCTTTATTACTAATCACGATAATATATACATTATTACAAAGGCACATTAGATCTGATAAGAAAAGAAAAATAGCAACGGACTAGTGGGTCTACAGCTCCATCTTTACAAGTGCTCAACTGGGATATAAGCCAGGACTCCACATAAGACTTATTCTTCAAACAACTTCTCTTACTGGAGGGGAAAAGATTGAGCAAGCAATGCCGGGAAATGAATTGTAATGCAAAGAGGGAACAAAGAGTTGGCATAATAGGGTTTACTTTCGCGTAACGCCAAAGTTGCAATATTTCAATATTTTTAAAGTATAGTTTAAACTCTGTCCTATTTCTAAGCAATATTATCACGGTTGTGAACCCACGCGGCCTTAAACCTAGGATAACCACCTGCCGAAAGTACCATAAATTCCATCCATTACTTAGAAGAAAAACACTAACTTGGGTACATTACTTGGCTTGCCCATAACCGAGGGAGCGGCTATTTGAATAGTTTTACTCCAATCAAAGGTGCACATATTTAACCATAAGACACAACACTTGACTTCATGTCAGCCAAGCATAGCGATATCGAAAAGGTACCCGAAAAGTCAAGATTGTTACAAGACTATGCACGTACGTAGCTCAACCCAAAATAGAGGGACCCGCTAAGGTTTCATCGCCCGCCGGTCCTTGACAATGTAAAGGTTGCCGGATCCTCCAGGACGAGACAGGCCTCCCCATGTGCCAGGTCAAAGTCGGCCTCCCCTAGTCCCAGACCTATCATACAGATGGCCTTTGTTTTGACATGTTCTAGACTTCTAGTCAAGCCTTACCTATTAGACTTGTGGTTGGACTGTTATGTTTTGCAGCAGAGGACCCAAGACCGGTCCTTATAGTGGTCGAGGTGCTTCTAAGAAAATCATGAACCTCATGCCCCACTAAAAACAGGTTTAGAGAGTTTTGAATGAGATTCCATCATGTCCTGACTCAACCAACCACCTAATCATCATTCTTATATATTTTAGCTATTACCCACAATCTAATTTGTAAAAAGGGGTTCTATGTTGGATCTAAGCATAAATAAGCCCAACCTAAAGCACCTAGTAAGTCTATCATATAGGAAGCCATGCTAGTCGTTCTATCATTTTACTAAGGTTAACATGAGCATGACTAGCAATTCAACCACATGGCTATATAATAAGGATCATAGGAATATTAACTATTAAATAAACAAAAGTGAGTGTCATATAATTTATAAAAGCAATGCATATAGATGTGAAACAATATAGTTTTTGCAATAATGGGATTCAATATGTGAAAGGATATGGTATGACTTGACTTGCTCGAAGAGAAGGTCTTCTCACGACTTTGAACTACACTTCGGGAACTTCCGAAACAACGGCAACTACACGAACAACAAAATAGGGCTACAACATTAAGAAAGAAACAATAACAATACATAAAAACAACAAACATGGATTCTTTAAGTTATAAGAAAAATTAAACAATTTAAACTGGTAAATTAGGAGCTTGTATGGCCGAAAAATGACCATCCCATTTTTAGGTGCAATTAAAGTGGATATTTCCGAGTTGTTTAATTATCATTGTTCCATTAAATTATTGTAGTGCAACATTGCTCGAGGAGAGAAAGGATCGAGCAACTGGCAGCTAGGACCCACGAGTCAAACAGTTAGATCACCGTGTACCATGTTCACATAGACGATCCACGGAGAGAACGGAGTGAGACCCTGCATGTCAACCAAAACAAATGGCCGACAGGAAGACCTCGCATGTCTACCACGCTGGCTGCACACGTGGGCAATCCACGCTGTGACCACACAGGGAGGACAAGGATGGGGCAGGGATGGGAGGGGTTCTCACCACGGGCACGATGCGGTGAAGGAATAGCGGCGGCAACCGATGACGAGCTTGGCTCGACGATGGCGAACGTAGGATGACGAGGGAGACGAACGGGTCGACTGAGTGGACGGCTCCGGTGATCTTTAGGCTTGGTGAAGAGGCAGAGGACGATGGGCTTGGCGCTGCAGACCTGACGACAACGACGGATAGCACTTTGTCTTGATGGGAACGACGTTTGAAGGAAGGCGACGGCATCGGGGTCGTGTTCCAGGGGTCATTGGGGGCAGCGAGGAGATGCGGCCCAGGATGATGACAACGAGGTGAGACCGAAGCCGACGATGGTGCAGGAGCCGATGCTCTAGCGGGGCTAGAGGTGCTACCAGATTAGGAGAACGCGGTGTCCTCACTATTCGCCGGAGAGGACGGGTGTCTAGCGGTCTCCAGGAGAAATGGAGGTGTGGCCAAGGGAGAGAAGGTGGCTACAATGACGAAGGAGGTAGAGGCGTGTTCTGACGACGCTCGATTTGTCGATGAAGGTCGATTGGAGGAGGACGACGGCAGCAGCGCCTCTGGTTGCCGATGAGGATGCACTTCCGTTGGCCTTTGGGCGAAATGGAGATGAGGCTGGAGAAGAGGTGTCTGCGATGCCGAGGGAGGTGGTGGCGTGGTTCGGCGCTACTCCATTCGACAGGGAGGGGTGGCTGGAGCTTGCCGGCATAGAGGAGAGAGGAGGCACGAGGAGGCAACGTGGGAGCGAGAGACCATGACCCGAGGAAGCATGGAGGATGAGGAGGGTCCAGGGGTCCTTTTATAGCAGCTTGGGGAGGAGGAACGGCGCCGGGCAAGGAGAATGACGATGGAGACAGTGGGGCATCGACCAATGGCAGTGGTTCATCGGAGATTAAATTCGATAAGTAAAGGCCGAATCAAGAGGGAAATCAAGAGGAAGAGGAGAGGAAGCGATTAAATTTGAGGAGGGAATGAGCGGGGAGGGAGATCGGCGAGGCGACGGCGCTATGGTTCAGCCGGGAGAGATGAACAGGCGGCGGCTGGAGGAAGGCAACAACCCATGGCTGGGCTGGGAGGAGGACCTGAAACGGACTGATGGGGAGGGATGGGAGTTGGGTTGAGGCAGCTGCGGCCTGCGGCCCAAGAGGGAGACAGAGGGCTGAGTGGAGGAGGGAGAGGGAGAGGGTGGGAGGAGAAGAGAAGTCCATTGATGGGTCGAATGAGAAAGAGATAGATTTGGGCCGGAAAAAGGCCCAGAGAGAGAGAGGGGGAGGATTATTTTTAGATTTTTCATTTTAATAAACTCTAAAATTCGTTGTTGTTGCATTAAAATTATTTCTTGTGCTTTGAAAATTCAAATAAAAATTGAGGAGACATTTTAGAGCATGGAGAGTTCAAGAAAAATATTCCAAGCCACATTCGAGTTTTTCTTACCCGTATTTTGGTGTTTGAGATTTCTTTTAGACTTTTAATAATTTCTATTATTCGATTTATAAAGTAATTTTTCATTTGGGATGGATTTATCATGGCGTGACAAATTACATATGGTTTTTAGGGATTTACATATATAATTTTGGGATGTAATTTTGGAATTTACATATGTAAAACACTAAAATTACATATGTAATTTAGGGACTGACAAATATAAATACATGCTAATTATTTTTCCATGAAAAATATGACGACACATTTATAGCAAATCCAAATCCATATACCTTGAACATTCATGCATGGATAATAATACTAAAATGAGATCTGATGACAAAACTACAAATCCTTTAGTAGGGCCCAAGAGATACGGATATTAATTGTACATCGATTTGTGAGCGGTATAGGAGTAGTACATTTGTCCTAAAAATAAAGCAACACCACCTAGGATAATATCAAATCACATTGTCGTTTTTAGACGGAGGGTGTACCTAGCACCACTATTCATCGATTTCAGAATTTCACTGCAGGCTAAAAACTACAAAAGACAAAAGACTTGAGCTCTACTAAAAGCTTTCAGCTTGTAGACAAATCGAAGGTTACTCAAGCGTGATTGAACAAACTAAGGAGAGCTCGAGTCTTTTGTATTCTAGTAGTACTCTGCTCAGTTTGTTCAACCATGCTTAGTAACTTTGCTATTTGTTTGGGTGTCTTTCGCTTGATTAGGGCTTAGGAATAACGAATTTTGGACAGAGAACATCTTTCTAAGTACTTGCTGTGATGTGCCTATGCTTGATCACAGCTTCCAACCTTTATGCTGATAGCATGTTCTACCTAGCTTTGGTCCAGTGGTGTAGAAACAGTAAAATGTACGCCATTAGAGGAACAGTAGCCGAAGGATGCATCAAGATACTGTAGTACTAAAAGAAAAATTTTGTCAAATATATGAATTGGCAAGCCTCTCTACATGTTTGGCCTCTAGGGGAAGATGAGCAAGGATCTCAACAGACATTAGAACAACGGTTGTTCAAGCATGAAGCGTATGCATGGATTGGTCACTGATCACTTGGCTTATATATGCTTAGGATCGATTAGGAGGCATGAGGAATTTAGTGTGCACAGATGGGAACTGTGGAAGCAGTATTCCTCCATTTCATCGGCGCGGCTTCCAAAGCTTGGAATTGTCGGTAAAAAAGCGATTACAGATCATCATGTTGTGTTGTCGGAATGGGAGGTGCGCAGGTCCAGTTCTGTAGGCACGAAAATCAGGTCCAAGCTGGAGTGAGGGCAGCGCAGGACAATTTTATATACTATGTCTGTTTTATAATACAGTTTTTAATACAGGATGTTGTGTTGATTTATATTATTATTTAATTTTTTTTTGCAAATATTAGTGATTTAAACCATGTTTAAAACATTTAATAATAAATCAAGTCACAGTAAAATAAATAATAACTACATAAATTTTTTAACAAGATTAATGGTCAAACATAAAAAAAATTTAACGGTGTCTTATACTAAAACACGGAGGAAGAAGTATATTTCATGCGGCACCGCATCGGAGATAGCAGCAGTGCTTTCGAGTTCAGGAGCCTCTGGCGATGTTGAGCTTTTAGAAAATCTTGTCCGTGGTCAATATATTTTGTGATTCCAAATCGATTATGCATTCGCCGACAAGTCTTATGGTGTGTTCTTGCCCCTTCTTTCCTAACTCACCTCCTTCGTTTTTCCCCGCGTAAACTTTTCAAATTGCTAAACCGTGCATTATTTTACAAAAGTTTTCTACAGGAAAGCTATTGTGTCATCATCTGGCGTGTCTTAGGTGATGAATGACTAAAACGATCAAGAATGTTAGTTATTGTTCCACTATATTGACTAACTTTTATAACAAATAGTTTATGTACGAGATCGACTTTTATAACATCAAGTTCCACTATAATTTATGCATGAAAACATAAATCCTCTAAGCTTCAGTTTAAGCAATATTTTCATCTAGAATCTAGAAGTCAAATGAGTTCTTATTGAACAACTTTATCAGTTACTCAGATAGGTTTATGAGGTATCGGGAGTACTAAGAGGCCATCAACTTCTGCCACAACAACTCTAAATTTGTAATACGATGCAAGAAGTGCGGCGGTGTAATAATTCAGCGTCACACACACACACACTACTACATAAAAGAGGATGTATAGGCGTTGGTTGGGACCGGCCATAGGTGCCTAATTTCGTAAGAAGGTGGCACCTTTGAAGAGAACACACCTTCTATGTTCCAGGAATGGAAAAAAAATTATCTCAATGCATCGAGTAGCTCCCCTTCCCCTTGACAAGATTCCATAGAGCATTTAATTCGAACATTTTAATCGGCATCCATGAACATCCATGAACTCTATGAACACAAGAACAACCAAGAAAAGGAACATGCCGTACAATAAAAACATCCAAGACTACGAACACTAAGAACACAAAAACAGGCCGCCGGGGAGGACGCCACCGCCTCCCCTTCTGCCGGGTATGACAGGTGTGGAGGGCGAAACCTCTTCCGCCTTCCACCCCGCTGTATCTGTGCAGAAACATGCTACTAACGGTTTCTAGAACCGGGTAGTATGGTTTTTGCGAGGAGCACTGCGAGTTGATAAAATTGCAATTCGCACACCCTAGTGCTTTGGTGTTTGGCTGTTCTCTGCTCAACATAAATGTTGTTGCTTGCAATTCTATCTGCGATATAGCTAGTGGATGTGAGGGAGACCCATTAATTGGAGTTTTGGATCGAGATATATAGTTTTCGCTACAATTTGTCACAAGTGTAGCCCACAAGATGTGTAGCATGCCACAGTCCTCCTAATTTTTCGTGGCAAAATGTGATGCCATCCAAACATGCCCGTCATCTTTCAACCATTGTGGCACTACTCCTTAGTGTTCTATGCCCTCAGTAATGTTGCAATTATGCTAAGAACATTATGTGGTATTTCAACCAAGAATTCAATCCTCACCAATGTAGCACCATTCCTTAGGCTGCGTTCGTTCCCAGCTGTTCCCAACTCTCCTTGTTTTCCACGCGCACGCTTTTCAAACCGCTAAACGGTACTTTTTTGCAAAAAGTTTCTATACAAAAGTTGCTTAAAAACCAAATTAATTCATTTTTTTTAAAAAAATAGCTAAAACTTAATTAATCACGCGCTAAACGCTACTTCGTTTTACATGCCGAGGAGTGTGGGTTCCCAACCCTCACTCCCGAACAAAGCCTTAGTGTTGTACTCCCTCAGAATGTTGCAATAAGTATGCTAAAGCCATGTCCAATGTTCCAGCATGGAGTGTGGTCTCACCATGCCTGAGGCGAATATTCCCACCAGCTCGGCCGGGACTGCACCTCGGTAGGGCGCCACGACGTCCAGCAGTGGGCCACATAGTTTGGGCAGCTTTTGGGCGAGGCACGAGCGAGGAGCCGTGTTGGGGAGATGCCTCGCCCCGCACTGTTGCTGCAACTACCTCCCGTGTGAAGATGGCGAGGAGCCGAAAAGGTAGATGAGGAAGAAGATGGATCCCAGCGCCGCCGTGGCTCGATCTGCTGTCGCCGCCTCGATCTGCCACCTCCGCCGCTTGATCCGCCGCCGCATGATCGATCCACCACTGCTGCCGCTCGATTCGCTGCCCCCGCCTTGATCTGACACTGTCACCGCTCGATCCAGCGGTACCACCTCGATCAGTCGCCGCCGCCGCTTGATCCACTGCCGCCGCGGCCTCGATCCGCCGCCGCACGCTCGATCCGCCGCCGCAGTGCCTCGATGCACCGCCGCCGCGCCTCGATGCGCTGCGCCGCCGCTTGATCCACCGCCATGCGCTCGATCCGCCGCCGCCGCTTGATCCGCCGTCACGCGCTCGATCCACCACCGCCACGCCTTGATCTGCCGCTGCCGCTGCCGCCTAGGGCCGAGGAGAGTGGCGGCGCCGGGAAGGGAGAGCCAAAGAGGATGGGAGAGATGGGGAGGAGAGAGGGGTTGATGTTTATATATGTCTGTGATTTTTAGGGGGTATACTGGAAATAATGGACATATATGCAAATAAAAAATATAAGGGTTTAAATGCAAAATGTGACTGACTGACAGGTGCTGTAGTGCAAAAATGAGATGGGGGTATGGCTTGCACTGTGTGAGGCATATCGCTAGGCCCTAGCTAGGTGCTTGATCACTTTTGCTATGGGGGTGCGCCCTGCATTGGGCATGCCCTAAGAGCAATTATTTTGATTAGAGCCATGAGCCAATTCGTCATACAAAGTTTGAGATACATGTTTGTAGATATTTCTTAGCATGTGATGCATATCAAACCATTAATTGGGTACAGTTACTATATCAAGGATTTAAATCAAACGCTGATATGGAAGTTACATTAAGTGTTCCATTAGTACTTGTACATATATAGTGCAGTTAGCCGAGGCTTCCTTCACTTGCCCAGCAAAGCCCATATTCGATTCTTTGAGATTGGCTTCCTGTTGCTTCTTGTTAAAACCATTGACATACTAAATTAAAACTCCTCCTTGGTGTCCCATACTGAAATTTCACAAAAAGTTGCATTAATTTCTTGAAGCTGAGCCAGATTAAATTACATATTGAACCATGAAACCTACTCTCATAAGATGGACCTATATATATACTCTTTACAGT